AAAACGAAATGATGACTGAAGGCAAAATATAGCTTTTAAGAGGAAAAAAAAAGCCAGAATTCTGAAAGCGAATGTGTCAGTTTCTGTGTTTAATTTGCCTCAGGCTATTTAAATTATACGTTGTAAGCCTGCAGAATTTTGAACGTGTATGGTACAAAGATAATAGTGCTCTCATCATTAACATTAGTCATTAGCACTGACTCAGAGTCAGGTTAATCACAATTCAGACAAAAACCTTACCCTGGATCTTAGCAGAACTGGACAAAGAGTGCATTGGTAGCCACTGAAAAAGTGAATTTACTTTCAAGATCAGTATGCTCAGAGTCTTAGATGTTTATTAAAAATGAGATGTTCTTTCCTAGCAGCTATCATGGAAATATTACGAAAAAACTGCGTATGTAACATTAAGAGAAACTGAGCACCATGTTACCAAAGATTATTTAAACTTTTACATCTAATAAATGAATGTATGCTGAAATTGGTATTTTAAATATTTAATAAAACTGAGAGATGGCTTTCAGAAAGAGGATAAAATTTTTGTGTTTGTTTAACAATATAAATTTATCGCCAATATTACCTTAAAACTGTTCCATCTTCTGCAAGTTTCAGGAAGTTTCCTTCTTCAATGTCCAACACCAAGCCTTTACAACTACGAATAATTTTATTTTAAGGAAGAAACAAACAATTAATGCTTTCAGACGAATGCCTTGTTATAGATCAGAATAGTGAAATGCAGTTACAGAAGGTATACAATGATGCTACACAAAAGCAGCAAAATCACAACCCTTCAAATATTTCCATGTTTGAACAATGCTCTATATATGCAAATACATATTACTACAATGAGGACTGGATAGCATAGCAAATTCCTACTAAGTAAATTCAGTTCCATTGTTCAGTGAGTTCAGTGACTATTCATATAGATAAGGTTGAAGGATTAAGGTCCAAACATATACAACTAAGAAATGTGATATTTAAGCCACTTCTATTAAAGAAATATATTTTTTTCTTGGTGGCAACTCCCCTACTTATTATTACTAGACTGATAACACCAGTTATTAAGGGATAGAGGGGCAGAACATCATTCTAAGTGAGGCAACTGAATATCCAAGGAACGTGTGAAGCAGAAGCATTGCCATGCTAGGCAGTGCTAACAAGGTGAACAGTTGACAGCATAGGACAGACATCCAACAAGAGTTCCTAGCTCTCCTAGTAAATCTGTACCTTACAGATAATTGAATCTACGTTCACTTAGGTTGTTTGAAAAATTAATTGAGTTCAGTGGCTGGGACAACAATGAATAAACGAGACTGAAAAAGTAATGCCACCTTCATCCTCTGTTATAAGGTACCCAGAGGAAAGAAGATATGCCACGAAGGCAGCAAGCAGACCCCAGCCTTTCACAAATGACACCTGGGTGAGTAGCACCGACACGCTGGCTACCAGCACTGCGGGCTTGCAGGTCCACGTTAATGAACCCCCAGCTCCAATAAGGGACTGAGGCTGAGATATCTAGATCTTAACAGAGGATTTCATCCATCAGAGGCCTCAAAATATGAGAAATACAGACACATTGCTTGTCACATGAAAGTTGAAATCAATCTGATTGGAAACTGCCCAGTCAAATACTGAATTGTAGAAACAACTGATCAAAACCATTCTCACAATAACGCATGCGTTACTTAAAAAAACCCCAACACAACCTTGTCTTTCTCCTAAAAAATTTAGTGATTACCTGGCCTTCAAGCCCCCACCCCCCGGCCTAGATAATGACCTGTTAAAGTTGGAAGATCAGAGATTCACGTTCAAGCTCCTTCTCAGAGACCACTGAGCTCAAAGCAGCAACTTGCATTTCAGCCTTTTGCATCACAGCTTTGTGCCTGACGTGCCACCACCCAAGGGCTACCTCCTGGCACGTCAACTTTCCTTGGTTCCTCAGAAGGCTGTTGGGATTATTCTGCCTTACACAAACAAAAACACATCTGCCGAGATAAAAACCACTGAATTCTGATGGTTACTGGATTTAGCAGTTGAACTGAAGGTAGAAGACAAAGGAGATATATAAACTAAGAAAGTAAGTCAGACTAAAAGGCTCGTGTCTAGACAGCTAGAAGCACAGACAAAGCAAGCTTAGATGCTCAGTTCTCTCTTCAAAATAACACGTTAGAAGTATCTCATGACAAATACTTGTTCAAACAAGTATGTAAAACTGTAATTTTGGATTTATCTATTGGGCTTGACAATCATAACAACAAGTGCCTAATAACAGAAGCTGTTTTCCAAGCTTTGTAAAAGTTACAGCATAAAGGAAGTTATGAAGAAAGTTTCTATTATTTTCAACATACTCACCAGAAGTCTAAGCTGTCTGGAGCTAGAGTCAGCAAGTCTTTGTCATAACCCTTCTCCGCCACCAGATACTGGGCAAAACTATCATATATTAACTACAAATGAAAAAATAAATGCATTGATTATACTGATTAAGTGAGATCAAAGATACTGCTTCCCTGGAAAGTGGCAAGATGCTAGTGTTAGTGTCTCCCAAGCAAAATCAAACCAGGGACCTAGGGGCCCTATCCCACTGCCTCCACTACTGGGAAATAGTGCCTGAGGGTGTTTTTGCCATGGCTGGAAAACAGCTCAAGAAGTTCACACAACAGTTCCAGTGCAATGTGTCCAGCGTAACCAAGTTTACAGCATTCTACCTTACTGCCCCCGTGCTTCAAGACTGTTGGGAAACCAAGATGGTAAGTACCTAAGACTAGTCACTACCCTCTCCTCCGCAATCTTTTTTTGCTTTTAAATATTAAGTGTCACAGGTACCAAGATTCAACAAGCAGCTTCTGAATCAATAAACAACTACCCTTAGGGGACATTTTAAAAGTATCCAAAGGAACATATTTTGTAGGAAACAGGCAACTACTAAGTAAATTGTTACTATTTATAAGTTCAGAAAGAACACTGTTAAAGCCTGATACACCAGTCAGTGATTTATTAATGTAATGTGCTGGTAAAGTTGTACAAGAAGATCTACATAGATGCTGGCAGGTCCTTAAAGACCGTACCAAAAGAGTAATTGCTCCCTTTTTCTCATGATTCTTTCATTAAAGCTGTTCCATGGCCTTTTTTTCTTAATTACAAAAGCTGCTCTTGGAATGAGTATGAATAATGTCTGAGAAAGACTAATATGAAGGCCAACACTGAAAGAGTAAGAACTAAGTCCATCTTCAGCTGTGCCTGCCAGCATTTTTAAGTATTTTTTGCTTCCAATAGATACAGATGCATGCAACGGGCATGTGTCAGTCTGTCTCTGTGTGCTGTGAGAAGATGAAGAGTGAACTAAGTTTAGGAAATGTTTTTGTTTTTTTCCTCTATTTTGTTAACTGGTTGTGGTTTTGTTGTTTGTTTGTTTTTTTAAACTCTTCTAGTTATCAATTGTCTAATGTCTGCCTTCATCAGACAAAATCCTTCTCAGGAAGAATGTGCCTGTGCAAGATGCAACATGTGTGGCGTAACAGAAGGAACATGGAAGGTAAGCCTAGAGTTGTATAGTTTCCAGCAGGAACTTAAGAGCACAAGCGTTTTATAACTTGCCACTATTGAACCTCTTTTGTAAGAAAGATGCCTCTCTACAGAAAGTCACTCAGAGCTCAAGGAAGCAATTTTTCAACACAGGACGCACTGAACCATACCTATTTGTAAATGGGACACCTCATAAACATTTGTTTCTATACCAAATTCTGAAGTATCTTGCAATTAGCGTAGGAGTCCCGTGCAGTGCAAAATGCACTGTAGGTGAATGGAGGCAAATAAAAGGGGAAAAGGGGACACCATGAGCACCCACGACACAAGATAGCTCCGTGGCAAAGTCCTGGCATCAGCAAAGAAGGACGAGTCAATGCAAGATTGTCAGGGAGTTTAAAATGTGCCAGTCGGAAAAAAAAAAAAGCGTCAAGGGCGGGAAGGCACAGCACATGACAGTAGTTCCTCTCCGTAAGGGACAACAGGGCTAAGTCAGAGCTGCTGAGCGCCTTTAAGCTCGGCGTTTTATTTTAAGCACCAGAAAGTTTGCAAAGGTCGCCTGTCGAAAGTGCTGCAGTCTCCTAACTCTGTCTGCAGCATCTCTAGATTTGGCGGGGGGGGGGTGGCTCTACCTTTTTCTCAGCGCCGCTACAATTAGGGAAGCTCTCAAGAAGCACCGTTTTCAAGGAAGGAGACATGGCTGTCCCCTTTGCTCGGGCAGAGGCCTGCTGGGGAAGCGGCCGGCGAGAGGTGCGCTTGTGTTTCTCTTCTCCGTTTAGGTCTCTCCGTGGGTATCTGAGCCAGCAGGCTCGGGGC